CAGGGGACTTAACTCCTTTGATGAAGTCTTGGTCACTATTTCAGTAAGAAGGGAGTACATAGGAAAGTTATGACTGAGCCCTTTTGTTGTAAAATAATAATGCATACCATTAACAACCATCTTACTTTGTTCCAATTCTGACATTGTTATTATAGTTTTCAGCTTCACCCGCCTCGTCATTTTTGATCAATGAATTCACATAATTCCCCCACTCGACTAATTGCTCTTGTTTATCATCTTCCGTCTCTTGCAGGTCGCTTTTTTCTTCAAACTCTGACAACTCCGTGTCATCGTTTTGTGAGCTCAGCTGCACTGTCCTCACTTCCATGCATGGTTTACGTTACCTTGAGATTCTATGTTGGTTTTATCTTCGAGTGAAAGTGTGACGTTTTCCTTATCTGCCATTGTAAAGAAACCCTATCCTATAACACTTTTTAATTAACCATTGCAATTTCCAAACATTTTAGCATTTAAGTAAATCTATGTGAAATAACTGTCTAGAAGTACCAAAGAAAAAGGAAATTTAAAGGATTAACGTTAACAAAGAACAAAAAGGCACACCTTTTACTTTAAAAGACACTACCAGCTTTAGGTATGTACTACCTCACGTCCTAAAATGTCCACAATACAGTCAAGAAAATGGTAAGAAGGATTCGTTCTTAATTTAGCCTAAAATGAAAAGGAAAGTAAAAATAGAAAAGTACTAGTAGGAAGCTCCCTCAATGATTTTTTTGTAACTGACTAAATTAATATTCATGATCAGAACTGAAAGCGTGGAAAGGATTCACATGTCCATTGTACATTACGCTAAGTAGGCACAATAAGCAGGCTACTTAGTCTTTACAATACACGTGAAATAGATTCACGTGGCCCTGACAGAACACACTGGTTTATCATTTCGGCTACAAACAATGCGCGCATTACACGAAGGCTGAATAAAAATCTTGAGTGACGAATATTCATATATTAACTTAACAATGATTAATTAGAAATTATTGGATGAGACTAAGTATGATTCGGCCTTACTGGATAACACCCTCAGAGATATGTATAATTCTTCAAATCATACGAAAGGAAAATCCAATATTATTATTATTATTATTATTATTATTATTATTAGACTGTAAAATAAATGTCGCTAGTGCGGATATCTGAAATACGTGTCTATATGCTTTTATACTTAGGGCTTTTTATGGACACTGGTTTAGCCGTCATTATTATAATTCGATTGCAGGATCTTAATATCTCTGCATGATGGAATTCTTAATTTTATAGAATTTTGAACTTTTATTATTAATTATATCTATTTCCTCTTCTTTTATGTAAGGTTAAGTTACTTCTATTTTTTAGAATTTGTAAATGAATAGTTTTTTCTATCTTCACTTATAAT